AATCCTGTTGATTTGAGTTCTCTCCCTTTTTTCTTAATGAATCTGGCTAATGGTTTATCAATATTGTTTACCTTCTCAAAGAACCAGCATTTAGTTTAATTGATCTTTGCTATTGTTTCCTTTATTTCTTTTTCATTTACGTCTGATTTGATTTTTATGACTTCTTTCCCTCTGCTAACTTTGTGGATTTTTTGCTCTTCTTTCTCTAATTGCATTAGTTGTTATGTTAAGTTGTTTATTTGAGGTATTTCTTGTTTCTTGAGGGAGGATTTTATGACTATTAAATTCCCTCTTAGAACTGCTTTTGTTGCATCCCATAGGTTTTGGGTCCTCGTGTATGCATTGTCATTTTATTCTGGGTAATTTTTTGTTTGTTTGTTTGCTGTATGCGGGCCTCTCACTGTTGTGGCCTCTCCCATTGCGAAGCACAGGCTCTGGACACGCAGGCTCAGTGGCCATGGCTCACGGGCCCAGCCGCTCTGCGGCATGTGGGATCTTCCTGGAACGGGGCACGAACCTGTGTCCCCTGCATTAGCAGGCGGACTCCCAACCACCGCGCCACCAGGGAAGCCCCTCCCTAAGTCTTTTTAAAGTTAGAATTAAAAAATAATAAAGCATGAAATAAAGGAAGAGACATGGCCCAAAACTAGTGACTTTTTCCCTAATCAGGAGTAATTAGTTTATCACACAGCAACTAAGCAAACATTTATTGAGTGCTTATTCTGAGATCGCCTGTTCTCTAAATTCCTTCTTTCTACTAATGCTTCATCATATGTGGTAATATGTCTGGGCAAAGATTCCCAAGACAAAGCCCTTGCTTTCACGGGGCTTGCTATCTGGAAAGAGCTAATGCATGCAAAAAAGGACTTTACAAGCTATTTGTATACAAATATAGATAAAAGATATATAACAGCACATTATAAAAATTAAAAAAGATAATTTCTGCCTAAAGTTAGGAAATTCATGAAGGAAAGAGCATCTGAGTTGGATATTGAATAAATGGCAATTTTGATAGGTAAAGAAGCAGAGGAAGGCATTCCAGGGTAGAGAAGAGAGCACAAACAAAAGTGCAGAGATGGTAAAGAATAAGGCATTTTGGAAAATGGCAAGTACCGTAGTTCACTGTGGGTGGAGCATCGCCAGAGTTTGCACTGAGAGTGTGGCGAAAATTCAGGTCTCCGAATTCCCAGTAATAGTGCTGGTGGCAGTGTTTGCTCAGTCATTGTCTCTTTTCTCAAAGCGAGGAAAACAGTCTCCAAATTCAAAAATAAAAAAATCCAGCTCCCAAGTTCCTGTCACATCTTGATAATCTCTTCCAGGCCCCAGATCCAGTTCTTGAAAATCTGGAGTCCATGCCGTGACTACACTGAAGGACATCTGTTCCAGTGAGAGCAGAACGCTGTAGTGAAACACTTCCAACCTCCTATCCTGGACAGCTCATGTTTTGTCACAGAATTTCAAGCTTTGAGTTCCAGTTGTTTTTTTCCTCCTTTCTCCTGAGGAAAGCATCGTATCACCACAGTCTTAAGATTCTTTTGAGGTACATCCAGATTTAATTACAAAAGAGCTAAAAGACCAACACATCTTTCTCCCAAAACAGTCACTCCTCTGGAATTGAGATCCTTTGTCTCTGCCCTCTAGGTAAAGGTAATAGTCAATTGATTTTTCCCAGATGTTTGTATGAAATAGCAGAACCGGCTAACGCCTAACAAACAAAACACTTAAGTGGGTTTGTGTTTGCTTGCTTAGAACTGTACCACTGGTAAGCACCACTCCACAAATTGAAAATGTTTGAAATCCAAGTGTTCAAACATTTCTATAGTGTTTGCTGGATAATGGCCTGGAATTTGATAAAAGCAGCTGACAATTAACAAAGAAGCAAAAACTGGCATTTTGGCCATCTTAGTAACACACTTGCAAGCAAAGAGAATACAAAGCAGGCCGGAGGGGGGGCGGGAAGTTAAGGTTTGAAACACTTGCAATCTACTGATT